ATGCAATTTTTAAAAATTGTAATTTAGTCACTAAATTTTCCCAATTTTGGCTAAATAGGAAAAAAATAACTTTAATTCCAACTATCCAGAATAAATTTCACTATTCTAAAATATGAATATAATATTTCCAACGTTCATCTACCATCATTCAATTTTTCTTAAAATTTCAGACGATCTGATTCTTTATCGGGCTTTACTACTTTATAGATTTTAATACATATCCCGAATCAAAATTATGATTCCCACAAAAAATTAATTTCAAACTAAACTATTTATTTACGTCCAAAAATATTACTTTTAAAAATTACATTTTTGGTCCCTAAACTTTTCCAAATGTATACTTTAGTCACTAAACTTTAAAAAATACATTTTAGTTATTGACTAAAATTTGGGGTATTACAGCTATGCCAATTATTTTTTTTGGGGGAGGCATCACACTATTTATTATTGAAATTTGCTTCACTGTCGACAAGCCAAATAGTCCATGCAATGCTAAAAAAAAAGCTGCCAAAGTGCCAGAAGAGATGGTTTGATTTTCACCAGATCCCACATGATAAGAAGATTTTTTAGAGACTCTTGAAAATCAACTTGAACATTCCAAAACGTGCACCAGGACTGCCAAATCCTCCATGAAGCTTCATAGTGGCAGAGTAAATGTTTAACTATTTCTAGGCTATTTTTGCATAATACGCAGACAACCGATGCTTGCACACTTACACCACGCTTCATCAACTTAGACCGGATAGGAATGTGATCTTGAACGACTCTCAAAACAAACGATTCCATCTTTGGAGGAGCCAAACCTGACCAAACGAGCCTCCACAGTCTATTTGCAATAGCTCCAATCGTTACACTTTTTAAACAAAATTCTTTAGGAAGACAGTAGCTAAAAGAGTTGCCTACCCACCTCAAGTAGTCTTTACTCATTGTAACTCTTGATGCATTGGTTATAAGGGTCATAAATTTTTTCCAATACTCAAATTCCCAATCAAATAAACGTCTGCGTAATTGGATTTCTGTTCAAAACATTTTGATATTTCAATATAACAAATTAAGTTAAATGAATTTTAAGATTTTACAAAAAGACTTTCTAAGTATATTTGATATAATTATTTGAATATCAAAATATTACTCAAAATCTTTCAAATGTCATTTTTAATCCTTACTCAAGTGTAAAATTAAGTTTTAATCTTAAAATAATTTCAAAACAATTTTACAAAGTATTTAGAACCGTTTCAAGCCAAAAATCCCATATTGTCTAGAGGGAACCGATTCCCCCTGAATGGTTTGGCTCCGAGAAAAACAGAATGCTCAGAGGGAATCGATTCCCCCCCAAGGGGGTACCGATTTCCCCCCCCCCGTTTAACGGTCAAAATATTTGAATTTTACACTTAGGGAATCGATTCCCTATGAGGGGGTACCGATTCCCCCCACGCTCCAAGCTATTTTATTAATTGATTCTCATCCCCAAATGGCTCCAAAACATCCCCAACAACTATATACGACTTCAAACACATTCCAAGCTATAAATACAAGCTAAGGACACTTGAAGAAGCAAAAAGAGAACAACCATCCAAGCAATCAAACACAAGAGAAGAGTTTTTCATTCTTATTTCATATTTCTCTTGTAAATATTTTGTTCTTGTGAGCTTAATTCTTGTAAACACCTACCTTAGAGAGGTTTTCTTGTTTACATTTCTTATCTTTTTGTAAAGGGGAAAGGTTCTAGCTAATCCCGCGTAAAAGCTATGGAAATGTTCTAGTTTAGCCTGGAAAAACTAGGGAGTTTGTAAGGTTAATCTTTATCCTCAAAAGAAAGAACAAATTCGTGAATTTGTTGGAAAATCCTTGGTGAGGAGCTAAGGTAGTGGACGTAGACTTTGGTTGAGAAAGTCAAACCATTATAAATCGCTGTGAAATTCTCTATCTTTCAATCTCCTTACTCCCTAAACACAAAACCGTTCCGACCCCTCTCTGCAAATCATTCTGGTTGTCGATTCGAGCTTTCAAAAATCCCAATAATTGGCATCAGAGCCTCACTCGTTAAGAAGGTTTAACCACCTTGAGATAATCCTCGAAGAAGCTCTACCAATTTCTGACACAACCGAGAAGATGGCTTTCACTTCTGGCTCGTTCCACATGGAAGACTCCCTACCAACCGATAAACCTCCATACTTCAATGGAGCCAACTATCGTCATTGGAAGAAATTAATGAAGGTATTCATCCAATCCAATGATCTTGATGCATGGGAGATAATCAAGAACGGATATTCTTCTCCAAAGAAGAAGGGGAAGAAGCAGAGTGACAAAGAACGAAAGAAAGCTCAACTTAATGCCAAGGCCATGCACATGGTGTTGTATGCATTTGGTCCTGAAATCTATGAATGAGTTTCTTCATGTTCAAGTGCCAAGGAGCTTTGGAATAAGCTCAAGGAAATCCATGGAAATAAGAAAGAAGAACCAACAAAGGTGGTGTCTTTAATGGCTCTTGAAGAGCCCGAGGTATCTTCTAGCTCAAATGAATTAAATTCTTATTCTTTTTGATGAGTTACAAGATGCTTATAATAAGTTGTATTTGGGATTTGAGACCATAAATTCCAAATATAAGAAAATGATTTCAAAATTTAAAATCGAAAATGATTTTCTTTTGAAAACAAAAATAGAGTTTGAAAGCCAAAATGAAATTTTGAAAAATGATTTAGAGCTTTCAAAAATAAAAATTGAAAGTTTTGAAAAAGAAAATCTTGATTTAAAAGTTAAGCTTGAATGCTTAACAAAAGAAAAAGAAATCATTTTAAATAATTCATTTAGTTCAATAATGACAATATGCTCACATTGTCATTATCATGGTCATATGGAACATACTTGTCCTTTGAAGAAAGGAAAACGTTTTAAAATTAGGCAAGTATGGGTTCCGAAAGGAACAAGAGGCATTGAAACTAACGTCCAAGGATCCAAAGTAATTTGGATACCTAAATCTACTTAAATGTCTCTTGTAGGTGTGTGGGAGCAATGGTGATGAAAATGATGATATTCAAGATGCTCTAGCCTCACATGAAAAAGGAATGGGTAACCTCTAAGCTTAATACTTTTAATTTTGGTTATTTGGTTGCTCATTTGATTTTAAGCAAGCATGAGTTTTGGTTTTAAATGATTATGCATCATTGTTTTAATCTCATGTATGTTGAAAATATGATTATGATGAACATTTTAAAGATATATTAATTTTTAAGAATTTTTAGTTCACCATAATAAAATTTTGGTCAAATTGGTTTTAAATGCAAATGATATCTTTCTAACAATTGATATCAATTTTTCAAACACTTTGATTTTACAAATTTTAAATTTTTGACCTAAATTTGAATGTTTATGCATATGGTTTAAATGAAAAGGATATTTCTCTAACAATTGATATCAAAATTTTTCAAATGCATAACATTTTTTTTGGAAAACTTTATGCATATGATCTTAAATTCAACAATTGGTATCGCATAAAGTATTTTAGATTTGGATACATTGAATTTCACATGATACTAACATGTTTGTTATTCTTAGTTGAAATTCAATTTTGTTTAAGTGTCAAGATCCTAAAAGCATAATTTTATTTGGAATGCATTTATATAGGGGGAGCTTTGATTTTTCAAATGATTTTTAAATGTCAAATTTACTACTTACTATTGATTGTGTTCTTAGCAGCTTACGCTATATTTATTTATAATCAATTGGCTAAATGTTTTTCAAAAAGTTGTTTAAAATCTTTTAAAGGTCTTTTTGATTTAACAAAAAGGGGGAGAAATGTTAAGTGTTTTAAAAGTGTTTTAAAAGGGAGAAGTGTTAGATTAAGGGGGAGTAATTTCAAACTTGTTTTCAAAATCTTAAAATTACTAAAATGTTTTGTTATATCAAAAAGGGGGAGATTGTTGAAAACATTTTGATATTTCGATATAACAAATTAAGTTAAATGAATTTTAAGATTTTACAAAAAGACTTTCTAAGTATATTCGATATAATTATTTGAATATCAAAATATTACTCCAAATCTTTCAAATGTCATTTTTAATCCTCACTCAAGTGTAAAATTAAGTTTTAATCTTAAAATAATTTCAAAATAATTTTACAAAGTATTTAGAACCGTTTCAAGCCAAAAATCGCATATTGTCCAGAGGGAACCGATTCCCCCTGAATTTGGCTCCGAGAAAAACAGAATGCTCGGAGGGAACCGATTCCCCCCCAAGGGGGTACCGATTCCCCCTGTTTAACGGTCAAAATATTTGAATTTTACACTTAGGGAATCGATTCCCTATGAGGGGGTATCGATTCCCCCCATGCTCCAAGCTATTTTATTAATTGATTCTCATCCCCAAACGGCTCTAAAACATCCCCAACAGCTATATACGACTTCAAACACATTCCAAGCTATAAATACAAGCTAAGGACACTTGAAGAAGCGAAAAGAGAATAACCATCCAAGCAAAAAGTTTTTCATTCTTATTTCATCTTTCTCTGGTACATATTTTGTTCTTGTGAGCTTAATTCTTGTAAACACCTACCTGAGAGAGTTTTTATTGTTTACATTTCTTATCATTTTCTAAAGGGGAAAGGTTCTAGCTAATCCCATGTAAAAGCTAGGGAAAGGTTCTAGTTTAGCCCGGAAAAACTAGGGAGTTTGTAAGGTTACTCTTTATCCTCAAAACAAAGAACAAATTAGTGAATTTGTTGGAAAATCCTTAGAGAAGGAGCTAAGGTAGTGGACGTAGACTTTGGTTGAGAAAGTCGAACCACTATAAATCGATGTGCAATTCTCTATCTTTTAATCTCCTTACTCCCTAAACACAAAACCGTTCCGACCCCTCTTTGCAAATCGTTCAAGTTGTCGATTCGAGCTTCCGAAAATCCCAACAATTTCTCATTCCCAAACTCCATTTTTTTTCCCAAGTCATAGACCTTACCTTCATTTTTCAGAGCAAGAGCAAAAATACGAGGGGAAGCAGATTTAAGCTATGTTGCACGGGGACGGCAGAGGAAGGGCGTTTCAAGTACCCGAAACGTCCCTGGCACGGGGATGGTATGGGGACGGTCGGGGTACGTACCAGGGATGTGTCACGGTGGCAGGGTATGATCAACTATACAGGGGACGTTTTGGTGCTCGCTGGGGACATTTCGGGGATGGCCTTAAGAAAATCTTGAACATATCGAACGAGAGAACGGTGATTACCGTCATTAGAGCGGCGTGACCTTATTTTAGGAACGACCATGACAAGGTCGCGTTCGCCATTCACGTGACTTTTCTTTCGGCCAGTTTTGCCCTCATCGCCACTGGGCATGCTGCTTTGTGCGACAACGTTTTCTCTTATACCTCTACTGGTATTCTCTTTTCTTCTCTTTCTAATTTGATTGCTACTATTACTTTTTCAATTCCTTAAAAAGCATTTTTGGTTTTTAGACGAGGTAGGAACCGATAATTGGAACAAATTCGAAGACCATTACGTTTGTCTATACCAATCCCGAGAAAGGGTTGAAGAAAGTTTTGGTGAAATGTCTGGTTATGAATAGAAAATTGTTTGTCGAGACTTTGGCTGAGAACAGTTCTCAACCCCCTCATCTTGAAATCGAGTAACTATCTTCTCTTTTGTTCTCTTTTTTGTTTAATTTTTGTGGTTTAAATCAATGCTTTTGGAGTTTCATTGACTGCTGCAGTATTGATGACTATGTTGGTGGAGAGAACACAAGTGGAAATTACTCTGCTTTGTACAATAATTTAGAGAAATTAGTGAATGGTTTGGAAAAAGAAGTAATATCCAAGTTAAATTTCTCAGCAGTTGACCCTCCAAGGTAATTAAGCAAATTTAGTCTTTACCGTTATTGATGTCGAACAATTCTTAGCTGTAGTTTTAGCGTCTGTAGTTCTCTACAAATGGATGTTATTCTAGGCTTTAAGGATGATTGGAAGTTTTTTTAGGGTTTAGGATGACCAATGGGAATAATTTTCTTTTATTTACCTACTCTTTTATTTGTGTGTGTGGTTTGTAGTTCAGCAAAAGGTGAAGGATCGAGGTCCAATCATCCTGGTGTTACAGTTAATGAACCAAGAGGCCCTCAAATCGATCCTTCAGGGTATCTCTTGTTTTCTCCTTTGCGATTTTGGATTTAATCCAATTCATCAATGATTGTTTATACCCTTTGCATGCTTCATTGATAACTTTACAATCATGTAACTATGGGTAAATTGTGATTGATGCTACAAATCATGACTCCTTTGCGTTATTTATTTATAAAAAGCTTCATTAGTGAGGTTAAACTTCCATGATTATGGTCAGATGATGCATGTTTTCTGTCTATCAACTAGTGGTATAGGTTTTTTGATTATGCTCAGATACAAGTAAGATTTCCTGATTTAGGCAAGGTTTACTAGTAAGTTTTTTTACCCCATTTTGGAAGATTAGAGAACAACTTATTCGCATATTAGGCCAGAACAGAAAATCACTGATTGCTCTGATATAATATTATATGAAACCTAACTATGTGTTATAGACTTCTGAAGTTCTGAGCATGTTAAAATTGTATCTAAGGAAAATAAAGAATAAATGGGAAAACATTAGTTATAGAGATGATGCATGTTTTCTGTCTATCAACTAGTGGTATAGGTTTTTTGATTATGCTAAGATACAAGTAAGATTTCCTGATTTAGGCAAGGTTTACTAGTAAGGTTTTTACCCCATTTTGGCAGATTAGAGAACAACTTATTCGCTTATTAGGCCAGAACAGAAAATCACTGATTGCTCTGATATAATATTATATGAAACCTAACTATGTGTTATAGACTTCTGAAGTTCTGAGCATGTTAAAATTGTATCTAAGGAAAATAAAGAATAAATGGGAAAAAATTAGTTATAGACAGATAGTTTTGTGTTTCTTTAACTTACTTTAATGAAACCTTTCCATTAACTTCCAAACAGTGGCTCGTACGATCATCAAAATTATAAAACTTCCTTTATAGGGTTGTCCTACTTATTCTAAACTTAATATTGTGGTTTGAGTCTTGATATTTAACTTTATTTATGATTTTTTATATATATATTTATAATTTTAAAATTATTTTATATGTCGTACCCTTGTCGTCCCCGTATCCTGTAATTTTAAAAATTGTCGTTTTCCGTCCCCGTCCCCGTATCAGTGCAACATAGGATTTAAGTGAGCAGTCCCCTGTCCACGAGTTTAACCAAAACTCAAATGAAATTCTATCACCAAGCAAAAATCGCAAATTACTTGTAAATCCATCATCTTGACTTTGTAGACGGATGGTAATGTTTTTCCATATCCTTGATGAGTTCATGCCATGGATGGAAGTAGGCAAAAGGCTTTTCGTAGCGTTTTCTGTTTTAGCGTCTATAACTCTCCTCCACAGGCTCAGAGGTTCTTCTTTATATCTCCATAGCCACTTATTAAGTAAAGATCTATTTCTCATACTTACATCGTAAAATCCGAGTCCACTAACAGATTTTGGCCTGACGATGTTCTCCCACCTAATCTAGTGGATTGCTCGATTGGATAAAGAACCCCAAATAAAATTTGCCACCAGCTTGTTTAACTTTGAAGCTACCCCCGTCGGTACTAGGAATAGAGACATAAAGTATGCTGGCAAGTTTGAAAGTACCGATCTGACAAAGTCAAACGGCCCCCGAAAGACAATAACTTCCCTTTCAAACCATTCAGTTTGAATTGAAATTTTTCGATAATAGGCTGCCACATGGATTTGAACTTACAACGATCCCCCAGTGGAAGCCCAAGATATTGAGTTGGTAGCACGTCAACTCCACATTTGATTGTTTGAGCCCAGAGATTCAATATTCTGTCTTCCAAATTGATCTCGAACATCTTAATCTTTCTCACATTGAGTTTCAACCCATAAGCAACCTCTAAAACTCTTAAGACTCTTGATGTTTGATGCATAGCACATTGGCCTTTGAAAATATTATGACGTCATCCGCAAAATGCAAATTTGAGACCTCTAATTCACTTGGTCCCACCTTTACACCTTCAAACAAACCTATCACAGTGGACTTACGGATAATGACACTAAGTGCTTCCCTATAAAATTGATCTTTAAAGGGGAGAGGGGGCACCTTTTTCATTTACCCCTTTTAATGGCAAATATGGCCGTCGGGGAGCCATTAACTAGAACATATACTGAGGCTGTAGAGATGCACATCTTTACCCAAGTACACCATTTATCGCTGAAACCCAAACTCTATAGAATCAAATCCAAAAACGCCCAATCAACTGTGTCGTATGCTTTTTTGAAGTCAAATTTAAACACCAAAGCTTCGTATTTCTTTTGCCTTAGAAAATCTATGACCTCATTAGCAACTAGGATATAGTCTGTAATTTGCTTACCGGGAGTGAAAGCAAATTGGGTTTAACTAACAACTTCATTTGAACAGCTCGCCAATCTTTTTGATAGAACTCAAGCTAGCACTTTGTAGAGACTACCCACCAGACTTATCGACCTATATCATCAATCATTTCAGCAGCGATGGTAATCTTTGAAATCAGAGTTATAAATGAATGGTGACAAGCATCGTAATTGTCAAATAAATATGACGTTTTCCTCAAATAAATAAGCTATAAGACAAAATAGGGAAGAAGGGGTTGGTCCACAGGGATTCAGATCTTTCTAATTTTGAATTGATTTGATATCGATCGAGAAGAACTGAAAACAAAAAAAACAAAAATAGAGATTAGAATAATTAAATAAATTGAATAAAATAAAATAAAGTAGTAAAAGCAAGAAAAGTAAATTGTAGGGAATTGATTAAGATGAGAAATAGCCTCTAAAACTAATCGACTACAATTGTGATAAGCACAGTCCTTGTAACTTAGCCGATCAAGTTTTGCAACTAAGGGCCAACCTTTACACTTGTTATGGTTCTTGTTTTTGGGACAATGAAGCAAATTTATTTTGTAAAATGTTACAACTTAAGTTTTGATTTCAAATAAATATTCGGGTTGTTTCTATTTATTACTCTTCCATGAAGTAACAATTAATATTAATTTTTAGAAATAAACGGTACATAAAATTGTAAAATAATTATTATTTCAAAAGACACAACCTATAATGTTAGACTTATAAACTTGTTTTCTCTTAATGTTTCATAATAAAAATGGTTTGAAACATAAAATATTAACGGTTGACAGTTTAAAAAATGTGCATCATATAATGTTATACTTATAAACATGTTTTGTCTTATTTTTCCATAATATAAAATGTTTAAAACATATAACTTAAACGGTTGACAATTAAAAAAGGCGCTACCTGTAATGTTACACTTGTCAACCTATTTTGTTGTACTATTTCTTAATAAAAATGGTTTGAAACAAATAATCTTAATGGTTTCTAATTAAAAGAAGGCGCAACCTACAATGGTAATCTTATAAACATGTTTTGTCTTACTTTTTTTACAATATAAAAGGTTTCAAACATAAAACGTAAATGATGGATAAATAAAAAAGGCGCCACATATAATGTTATACTTAAAAAAATCCCTTAGTTTTACATAAGGTTATGCCCACCACCTGCACTTAGTGTCCTTACACACTAGTTCTAATGTTAACATGAAGCTTCTATATTATATTGCATGCCATCTATACCTTCTCATTCAACAATTTTCTTGGGCATATAGTATAATTTATTCATCCATGGCATCGTGTTACCGTATAATTAACATTAGGGCAGTTCATACCAAAATAACATTCATGGCAAAATATCATAATTATCAGTGATCAATGCATTATGATTTCCACACTTTGACATATTAAAGTCATGTCGATATTATGAATAATGACATAAAATCAGGCTGATATAAACAAGGTAGACTTATCCCAAGTCTTCTTGATGATGTATAAAACATCTATGAACAATGTCATGCATGTATTGCACTCACCTTGACACTTATATATATTTCAAAAGATGTGTTTCAATATGCTCCACACTTAATCCTTTTATACTCGATTTGTTTCGATCACAAAATCAATCACGATCTGTACAAAAAATCACAAATTGGTATCGATGCATATGCTAGTATTGTACTAACATAAATACATTTCCAAAACAAAATCATAATTATACTTGAAACTTATTCTCTACCAAAACACTTCAACACTTATTAATTCTTTTAATATTGGCACCAACTTTTCCAAATTATACAAAATGGCCCTTCAACATTTTATCACTTAAATTTTAAATACAAAAAATTTCAGCATTGAAATTATTACTAACCAAGTACTTTTACAAAGGTACAGTTACAATTAAACACCCCAACTATTCGAATATTGTATAAAAATCACCAAACTTTCCAAAGTTCCAAAATGATCAAATTTCACATCCTAACACTCATTTAAATTCCCAAACATCAAATTTCCCGCATAGTACATCAATTATAGAACAATTACACAACAACCCATCATTTTTCCAAAATTATTGATTTGGTCCTTTAACTTTTCTAAAATTACCAAAATACTTCCTACATCATTTTCAGCCCTTGCATAATTTTCTCATCCAAACAAGCTTTGGTTGAATGTTCTAAAGGTCTATAACTAAGGTTTCCATGATTTTGCTCGATTTTGATTCGATTCAAGCATGAAATCAACTTCCATCCAACCTTACAACTTCTCTACAATCAATGCCTTAATCAAATTTCATCAAAACACAAAGTTCTACAACTCCATCTTTTGACCAAAAATCATAGAAGCATTTCTAGGAAGATTGAACATATTTTAATCATCAAACAAGCTTGAAAATGAATCTACAACCTCAAAAAAATCAAGATTCATCATCAATTTCATGAAACCTAATGTGAACACAAACCCTAGGATTTTGGATCTTTGAAATCATGCAAGATTAGCAAGCATAAATGCTACCAAAAGATAGTGTTTCTCGCGTAGAACAATTTTCTACTTCACGACAGAACCCGAAATCCAAAGGAAATTGCTCAAATATGGAAAACTATTTTTTCTCACCTTTGAGGGGTTCACGGAAATGGAGAAGAAGATGAATAAGATGACATTAAATTTTAGATCAATTTCATGCTAATTTACCTTTAATTTATGCTTTAATGAATATTAAATTTATTTAATTGGGAAAAGAAAAAATTT